GAGGGGCAGCAACACCCACATCCCTGTTGAAGGGGAGGAGTGGGTAATGGGCAGCGTGGGGCGATGGCTGCGAGAGTTCCAGGCAGCAGGAGGGAGTTACAGTAGATGGGGATGGGGGTGAGCTTGCCAAGAGGGGGAGTCCTGGCCAGCCCACATCCTTATGGCAGGGGAGGGGCATGAGAGGCGAAGAAAAAGAACATCGACTTAAAGTCGATGTTCATTAACCTAATTTGAATAAAGAATGCATGTTAGAGTATGTAGTTGTAAAGAAAAACATACTGCTCACCTTGTTTTCGGTCCTGGGGGGTCATCCGAGGTGTTGGACCGAGAGGGGGAGCGCCAGGTGGTGGTTGAAGCTGAGATCAACAATGACAAATGTTGTTGATGGCTTATCCAGTGAACACCGTGAACGTCTTGATTGGCTGAGGCTGGCGGTCCGGCCACCCCGCGTTCCATTCATCAACCTCGGAATCACCAATATTGTTGACCTATGATGAAATTCTGTTGAATTATCATCGGTATGTAGGTAGACTACTGTAATCTATGTATTTACAAAAGTCCGAATAAATTCTGAGGGAAAGAACAAGCTCAGAACCTGAGTTACTGTTTTTGCATGGTGATTCACGTCCTCTTGATGTTCCATCCTCTCAAATACCAGTCGTTCTACAAGGTAAAACATCACAATAACCATACATTTGAAATACTTGGGTAAGTAAGTACATCATATAAAAAAATTAGCCTGAATTTACCATGTAAATCCTATGATCCAAGACAGTGTCTGATATTTGACACATCCATAAGTTGGTTTGACTATGGATTCCACCCCATCGTTTGCAGCTTCTTAGTTTACTGTATGTAACCAGTTACTCGGTCACACCAGCTACTCGGTCATTGCCTTTGTGGGTGGCACAGTTGCTCGTTTCTGTAATGACCTGAACAGAGGGGGGGACTTGGCCTCAGCATGCTCTTGTGCTGTGCCCCTACACATCATCTGGTTGTCCCCAATTTACAGGAACTGCCTTGGTCTTGACAAAGGAGAGACAAGAAGAAGTCATCCTGGCCAAGGCCCAGGAGACAGAGGATGAACAACAGAGCAGAGGGGTTGTCAAGGTTGAGATTCAAGCTGGGGAATCCAGTACACTACCTAGCTACTTATACTATTGAGAACAATGGAGAAGATCTAGGTTATGTAATGAATGCCAGCAGAACAATGACAGAGAACAATGAAGACAATAATGAATGAAACAATGAAAGTAAAGCCCATTGATGAACCAGAACAATGAACAATGGAACAATAGAACAATGGGTTCAGGCATGGGATGTGACAGTTTCACTCCATTCTTTTTGCACTTTCATGTATAATAGTATCAGAGAAATCTAACAACATTTTTTGGCAGACAGAACACCATTCCTTGTGGAGAAATGAGCCTCCCTTTGTGTCTGGTGATGTGTGATGGCCAATTTCCTTATTTGATATTGTGTTTCTGGTGGTCTTGGAGGGTTTTTCTTGACGACATGACACATTGCCAGGAAGATACTTTGGATTTAAGAATTTCATAGTGATTACTGTATAATTGAGCAAATTCCTCTGATGTTGAAGGATTACTGCACTTCCAACCTTGAAAATTGGAGAGTGTATCATTTTGGAGGTGAATTGGACTGTTCCTGCTGATTTCTCTTAGTACAAAGCACCTATTGCCTAAAAAAGAGGTGGAATGAATTGTGAGGCAAATATGTGTGCATGACAGAAGACCCCTTAATTTTTACAAATTTCTTCCAAACATAAGACACCAAGCAATTGAAAAATCTTGTTTTGAGTGATGAGAAATGTCAAATTAAATAACTGAAAGGAAAACATCAGAAATCACAAAATAAGAAGACTAGAATATGATAGAGGTGTCTAACTTTCACTGGAAACATTTTTTCGTTGAGGTCAGACCAACTTTGAAAAGTAATTCAAGGTGGCCAAGTGCTGCCTCGTATTCCGAGGTGATCTTATCATCAGCTTACTAAGCATAACTGACCCTAGTTACAACTGGTATACGGGACCAATACAAATCGGTCTAGTCTCGGGGCCTGGCCGACTTCCTGATTTCGACCGATTTTGACCTGTCAAAATAAAATATTCATGGAGGTCTCAAACCGTCCCTTAAATTTCTGGTAATTGGTGCAGAGGTACTTCAGATGCTTGTCTATTGAGTAGTACTGTTATTTTTTCTGATACCCCAAAACCAAGCACGCAAATCTTAGGCGACTGTAGAGTGACCGAGATGCTGGTCATCTACAGTACATCCAAAATTTACTAAGTCGGCCAGGGGAGCTCCATTCCTCAATGCATCATAATTAGCCAGTTTGTACATTATTTTTACATATTTATTTCATTTCTTCTGCCTCTTGAAATCTACATACAGAGGAGAGACTCCCCTAATTGGCTTGAAACTGACATGAATTGCCTCATAAAATATTTAAATCTTGTTCTATTTCGTTAAAATTACATAGACATATGAGTTTATATACTAATAACGATTTCTGAAGGTTTGAATAGAGATAAAACATGTTCTGGATCCATCGGAGACGTTCCGTTGTTGACCAACGGAATGGAAACAGGATCAGGCTGATATTCCCAGCCAATGGGATGGGCAGCCGGATCCTGCTGAACCGCAATCAACAATGTTGAACATCGTTGATCTTGGTCTTTCCTCACCACCTCCCTCACCCCCTCACCGTGAAGCTGCCCCAAAATACAAAAAAAGGTAAGTATATATCTTTCTTATGTACTTACATCACTACTAACCAAACTCTGCCTTCACAGAACCCTGTCCACGTCAATGACGACCCACCAAAGCCGCCCCTCCCCTCACGACAGGATGTGGGCTGGGACATCTCCCTGCCCACCAGCGCCCACTCGCCCACCAGCGCCCATTCGCCCACCACTGCCCTCTCGCCCACCATCACCCTCTCGACCAGGATGGCAGCAGCAGGCGCAAGATGACAACAGTGGGCACAGGACAACAGTGATGGGCACAACGACAAGGGTGAGGGCACAACAATGACAATGGGGAGCGAGAAAACGACGGGGGGACATGACGACAACAGATGGGGGACATGATGACGACAACGGCAATGGCGATGAGGGAACGACAACGGCAGCAGCAGCGGCAGCACCCTTCACCCCCACCCTCGCCCCTCGTCCACCTCCCGTCATCTGCCTCGCCCTGCCCCTCACCCCCCTCGTCTGCCTCTCACCCATTCGCCCTTGCTCACTCTCACCCTCTCGCCCTCTCGCCCATTTGCCCATTTGCCCATTTGCCCATTTGCCCATTTGCCTGTCTTGTCCACCTCTCCCTCTCCCTCTCCCTCTCACTCTCGCCCATTTGCCCTCTCGCCCCAGCCATGTCTGCTACATTTCTATATCAAATACTGTGTTTAAGTAGACTTAACTTATGTATCCAGACTGTCATTAAGCAGTCAGCCTCCCCTGTGCTCATTGTGTGACCTTGCCGGGGGTGCTGGGTCTCGGGAATGTGGGCAGGAGCTGTCAATACTGCCAAACAACACAGGAAACAATGCCCGAGCACTGCTCCTTGTCGTTTGGGGGCTCCCGTGCACCGTTTTTGATGAGGGAAGGACGGCAATGGCCCAGATATATATCTCATCACTGTTCTCCACCATTTCCCCCACCATCGGGGGGCGGGAATGGCTGGATTGGGGTGAGGTGGTTTGGATGTCATTTGGGATTTTTAGGTGCATTGTCTATTTTTGGTTCTGGAGAGATGACATCAGCCTCGGAAGCTGTGCTCCGGTCCACATGGGTCCATGGTCTGACTCTGGTGCTTGTTCGAAATAGCGCAGTGCGCCACGCTGCACTGCCCTCTGCTCGTCCGGGAGCGTCATCAAAAATTTCATGAAAAAATCAAATCAAATTAAAATAAAATAAGTACAAGATGCAGGTGGCACTACTAGCCACCTGCTGTGAGATAGAAAGAAAACGGCACGTCATGAACACGCCGTTTTTGCTTGGTGGCCCTCGCGCCACATGCTCACTGTCACCTCTGCTGCTCGCCGTGCTCGTGTAGCCGCCCGCGAGGACGGGGACACTGTGAGGGCAAACACGGTGCGAGGATACTGTGAGGGCAAACGCGGCGCGAGGATAGACACCACGCAAGGACGAGCAAGGGCAGACAGCAACGCGAATCCAGCAGCAGCATGGACTCATGCACCATCCTCGCTCGCTGTCGTCGTCGTCATCGCCCTGTCTCATCGCCCCATCCTCACACCCGTCAGCATCACCCTGTTGTCCTCGCCCCGTCGTTCTTGTCGCCCCTCACGACACCATTGTCCCTCGTACCCTCGTCCTCGTGCAGTCGTCTTCACCCCCTCGTCATCACCCTACCCTCATGCCCCATTGTCGTTGCCTGTCATCTCCATCGCCCCATCATCACTTCTATAAGCTAGGTACATATATCAAACCCTGTGTTTAGCCAGTGTGACCTCACATGTCCAGACTGTGTTTGAGCAGTCAGGTTTTCCGAGGCTGCTGGGGTGAGTTTGCCAGGGATGCCAGGGCCATAGGGATTTGTTTGGGGGCAGGAGGGGGTAAATAAATGACCAAACAACCCTCCTGGGTGCTTAGGCGCTGTGGGAGGGGTGGGGAAAGCGTGGGAAATCCGTCCAAAACAGGCAGGGATGGTGGGGGATGCATGATAGGGGCTAGTGGGATGGCGGGGTGGGTTCTGGGTGCGGCGGGGGCCTAAAAATGGGTTGGGCGGGGCTAAATATGCATGCTAATAATTGTCATGGCCCCCACGGGGTGCGGGATGGGCTGGGGGAGCCAAAAACGCGAAAAATCCAGAGACTTTTGCATTTTTAATACAAAACAGTTGAATAACAAATTGAAAACTTAATATTTCGGTGTGAAACTTTGGGGACCTTTGTATCTATAGTGGGGGGTGCTTCACGAATATTTTGAGCATTTATTATGAATTATGGGGTGCGCCACACAGCCAGGAATAGTGTGTGCGGCGGGGTTTGATGCGCTTTGCCAAATTTGGCAATATTGTGATGCCTGGACATCCGTGCATAATTCCGGCTCGCCCTCGCATTATTTCGCTTAGCTTCGGCTGAGCGAAATGCTGGGTACATTAATACCTTCCTGTAGACCTTCCTACCATGTGAAACGGACGAAAATTCGTTGAGATATGGCGAACGCGATTTTGGCTACTATAATGCATGGTGCACCCATGCATCCTGGGGCACATTTAGGGCCATTGAAGTTGGTCAAAAATCATGGAGTACATGTCTTGGAGTAATGGGACCATTGATAATGCCAGGGGGTGTCTGGGTGTAGTATATCTGAGGGGGGGTATAGGTACACCAGGAGACCTACTCCGGATACCCCACTAAACGTACCTCTGAAAGTCTGAAAGTTGGTACGTCGGTAGTGCATATTTATTCATGAATTTAACATATTTTATCATAATTTTATATTGCCTGGAAGCTGGGTTATTGACCCATTTCCCACGAGCTGAAATATTCTATTGACCTCCAGGATGGGGGGTATTGGCACATCTAAAATCATGATAAATGACAATAAATGTATAAAAACAGATCGAGGTACTTGCGAGGGCAAGGGAAGGATTCTGTGTAAAGTTATTAAGGGGAGAAGGATGAGGTAGTCCCCCACATGAGGATCTATCTATATACTTGCCAAATCTGTGTATCGCACCCATTAAACGGTGCGTTCTGGTTAGAATAATGTCTGCAAGGATATTTTGGTAGTGACGAATGAGGCTCTGATGCCCAGGGGACATGGTATTAGAGAGTGAGCTGAAAATGTGCGAAAAATATGAAAATAATTAAAATGGGTACCTCGGACTTGTTCAAAAATTACCAAACTTCATATATGAGGACCTACTAACATTCTGAAGGGACTGCAAAAGACCGGATGAGATTCCGAGCAGTAGGTGCAAAGATATGCACAAAGGTATCAGAATGACTGTAAGAGGATCAAGATCCTGTACCAACTTTGTGATGCAAGTGGTGCTTTTGGAATTCATTTCACATATCTTTGCACCTACTGCTCGGAATCTCATCCGGTCTTTTGCAGTCCCTTCAGAATGTTAGTAGGTCCTCATATATGAAGTTTGGTAATTTTTGAACAAGTCCGAGGTACCCATTTTAATTATTTTCATATTTTTCGCACATTTTCAGCTCACTCTCTAATACCATGTCCCCTGGGCATCAGAGCCTCATTCGTCACTACCAAAATATCCTTGCAGACATTATTCTAACCAGAACGCACCGTTTAATGGGTGCGATACGCAGATTTGGCAAGTATATAGATAGATCCTCATGTGGGGGACTACCTCATCCTTCTCCCCTTAATAACTTTACACAGAATCCTTCCCTTGCCCTCGCAAGTACCTCGATCTGTTTTTATACATTTATTGTCATTTATCATGATTTTAGATGTACCAATACCCCCCATCCTGGAGGTCAATAGAATATTTCAGCTCGTGGGAAATGGGTCAATAACCCAGCTTCCAGGCAATATAAAATTATGATAAAATATGTTAAATTCATGAATAAATATGCACTACCGACGTACCAACTTTCAGACTTTCAGAGGTACGTTTAGTGGGGTATCCGGAGTAGGTCTCCTGGTATACCTATACCCCCCCTCAGATATACTACACCCAGACACCCCCTGGCATTATAAATGGTCCCATTACTCCAAGACATGTACTCCATGATTTTTGACCAACTTCAATGGCCCTAAATGTGCCCCAGGATGCATGGGTGCACCATGCATTATAGTAGCCAAAATCGTGTTCGCCATATCTCAACGAGTTTTCGTCCGTTTCACATGGTAGGAAGGTCTACAGGAAGGTATTAATGTACCCAGCATTTCGCTCAGCCGAAGCTAAGCGAAATAATGCGAGGGCGAGCCGGAATTATGCACGGATGTCCAGGCATCACAATATTGCCAAATTTGGCAAAGCGCATCAAACCCCGCCGCACACACTATTCCTGGCTGTGTGGCGCACCCCATAATTCATAATAAATGCTCAAAATATTCGTGAAGCACCCCCCACTATAGATACAAAGGTCCCCAAAGTTTCACGCCGAAATATTAAGTTTTCAATTTGTTATTCAACTGTTTTGTATTAAAAATGCAAAAGTCTCTGGATTTTTCGCGTTTTTGGCTCCCCCAGCCCATCCCGCACCCCGTGGGGGCCATGACAATTATTAGCATGCATATTTAGCCCCGCCCAACCCATTTTTAGGCCCCTGCCGCACCCAGAACCCACCCCGCCATCTCACTAGCCCCTATCATGCATCCCCCACCATCCCTGCCTGTTTCAGATGGATTT